ACCGTATAATTTGTACTTCTGTCCAGTTTAAAGCTGACCATTCAATTTTGATAATGAGTTTCCAATTTACAAGTGTTTAATTTCTCAATCAATGTTAAAAAATAAACAACCCAATTGATTAATGATGTATAATGATTAATTTTTGAACAGTTGTCAGGAAATTAAATACTTGTAAATTGGACACTTATTATCAAAATTAATCAGTCAGCTTTAAACTGGACACATGTACAAATTAGATGATTTTTGGTGATTTTAAACGATTTTTGGTGTTTTTAAACAGAGATCTGATATTTAACGAAGGTGAAATGAAATTAGTGCTAGATTCACAAGATTAAATGATACCTGGGTTACAGTGATATCGAGTCAAGCATTTTGTGATGTGAGATATTTACGTATTTTCCAGTGATGTTTGGATTAGAATCTCATTTATATCTTATGCTGCTGAAGTGGAAATTAAATGAAATATGTCCTAATTTTTGCAATCTGATTAAAATACAGATCTATATTTCGTGTTTGTTTTTTTTATATTTTCGATGGCCTACACTACATAAAGATCTGGCCGGTTGTAGTGGAAGGTCGTGTCAGAGGTCATACGAGCGGCTTTTGACCCTATGATGTCAGACATTGATTAATCAATCGGCGTTGACGTTACTAGTGGTTTACCCACAGTTCCGTGCATCGCACGCCAAGCAGTTGCCGTAACAGATTGTTTCATTGGCTAATCCCTCATGTCATCCAGAATGCAGGTTATATAACAACTCTTCCAGATCCAAGTGTAGTACAGACAAATAAAACAAAATTTTGAACTATAAAAATGAAACGAAATAGGATCTGTGTTTTAATCAGATTGTAATTTTTAGTATCAACTTGCCTACTGGTAATGAAACTGAGCATACATCATGCTGTTTGCAATGAGGGGAATTTTACCTTGTCAGTTGCATTTCTGTCTACTGTTTTTTTAATTTCAATTGCCAGGGTTTTCACAGGGCCTTGTTTTTTTTTTCATCTTGTCTGAATAACTAGACTTGCCAGGTCCTCCATTGTGCACCATGGACAATTGGAAACCAATCTGATTAACATACAGATCTATATTTCGTTTCGTTTTTTTATACTTTCGATGGCCTACACCCAAGTGTAGTAAAGACAAGTAAAACGACATTTTGAACTATAAAAACGAAACGAAATAGGATCTGTATTTTAATCAGACTCATTGGAAGCCAGACTGTAATATCTTGAAGAACTTTCTCAATCAATACTGGGACAAATCCAACTTTGTACAACCTTGCGACAATCAAACTCTCCCAAGTCTTGCATTATTTTTCTGGTAGTGACTGGTATAAATAGTGTTCTTCTTTAAGTGTAATTTAGTAATTGTTTGAGGGAGAGAAAAATGCGCTTTAACATCCACTCGACACAAACTAGGTGATTTTGGGACAAACACATGGTTCAATTTTGTTTCAATAATTTGCTTGCGCATACGAGTCTTTAGCAGTGGCAGGAAACCGGTGGACCTGGAGAAAACCCATGAGGTTGGACAGGTGACCCTACTTCTTGTCACGTACAACCGTGGAATCAAAACCACGCCAGTTGACTCAATGAGAGACCTTATGATACAACATGCACACGCTAACCATTCGGCCATCCAACCCCTGCTGTCAAAACGTTGCATGTTAATAAACCAGTAACTGTTATTCCATAACTAGTGTGTTAGTGTGATAAATAGTGTTAGTGTGATAAATAGTGTTCTTGAATTAGTGTTTTAAACCAAGCGAGAGTGAGGACATGGATGTGTTATACATCCAGTGAGAGATGGCCAGGACACAAACTTTATCACAGATTTAACTCAATAACTGACAATTGTAAAATATTTTATTTTCTTTATCACAGTATATTAATCTTGACTTTAATTCTTAAAACTTACCATGGACCTAGCCCCAATGCTTGCCAACAATCACATGCCTTAACCTTATTTACATCTCAGCGACCTTGACGAAAATTGAGCTGGCCTTAACAAATAGATTTAGCCGTAATTGTTCAGGGAATAATTTCTATTGTAGTTGTTTAAATCCAAATGCATAAAGCAGTACAAGTGCCACTCTGAGACATCAGTTTAATATAACTCCACACTCGGGTATAGAAAATCAGAACCTGCATACAGATTCATATTCTTATTATTACCCCTTTCATTCAAAATCCTACTCTTCTGCTCCTATACTAGTACTGGGTTAATATCCCTGTGATATGAGGGAAATTTTGCCAGGGCAGCGGCACTATGGCCTACTTTTATTTCGATTTCCAACTGCCAAGGGATCTTTAACATGCATGCCAATGTATACACATGGCCTGTTTTTTTTTTTGTCCCATCCGAACGACGAGACAGCTTTCCTTGTCAGGCATTCAGTCCCGCACCACTGACAAGGGGAAAACACGTCGGGGAAATCCCGATGAACTTTCTCGGCCAATGCAGGGATCGAACACGGCACCTCCAGACTAGCAAGCCAGCGTCTTACACACTTAGCCACTGTGGCTCCCCCTTTCATACAGATACATCCCTATTATCAAGCCTGTCAATGTTTGATTTATCTCCTAGTACTGCTTTATACATAAGGCTTTAACTTTTCTCAGATTCAGATTTCAACTGAAATTCAAAATAACATGCACGGTAACGCTGCTGGATTTTCTCAAAATTTGACAAGACATGTAAAAACAGAAATCAAAAATTGCGTTAGTTTTTTATGGAATGAATTAATTTTCAAATAAAATTAATTATCTTTACTTTTAAGGTGTATAAATACCTTAATAGTTCCCTAAAATGTTGAAAGAACCTTAAATATGACTCCACAACAATACAGAAGTTAAATATTTTCAACTTAGTGCCGGACATGTATTAATAATATCAAAAAAAAAAAGGGAAATCAGTGCGGGACAAAATGACAGGAACCAAAGATTTTGTGCCTGACAAAGCCTGAATCTGCGTCTGACATTGTCTGTGACAGGTGCCTTATTTCCAGGCTTGCTTATCAGCATGAATAAGTATAATTAATGTAAATTTTGTAAGGATATTTTAAAATTAAGGGACTTGTTTTAGGAAGCGTATATAAAATTAGTTCACAATAGAGTTGTATATAAAATGTTTGATATTCCTATATCCTACATGTACGTCTTATAAGCAATGTTTAAAAGGGGATCGTTTAATTTCACACGTAAAACTGTTAATAGCGTTCAATGATTATAATCATACGAATTATGTCTTTTAATCAATCAAAACTCGATCCTGATCATTTGATTATAATCAAATGCGGATGAGGCATTATACCACTGATCATCTGAAGATGAGGCGTAATATCCCAGGTAAATCAACGTCATATTTTTCACATGATTTCACGCAGACTGGCACCGAACGATGTCCACAATGTTGTCACGTTGCTCCCATACCAAATTCGTTATTTAGTCTATGTAAATCATTCTTATCACAAACATCGTAAAGATCGGGTCGTCCCATCAGAGATAAAGTCATTCTGAGCGTGCTCCAGATATTATTCGACATGACGGCTTGAGCTCCAGTCGGTCCACTACTCTGTTGTTGCATATTTAACGCCGTTAAAAAATGTTCCACTGCTTCCCTGAAAAAAAAATACAATAAAATAACACTTGATGGTCATTTCGGGACTAACATATGGTTCTACTTTATTTCAATAATTCGCTTGCACGTAGGGGTCTTTAGCAGTGGGAGGACACCGGAGGACAGAGAGAAAAAACGCGAGGTTGGACAGGTCGAGACCCTACTCCATGTCACATACAATCGAAACCACGCCAGCTGACTCAATGACAGACCTAATGATACAACGTGCACATGCTAACCATTCGGCGCCCAAACCCTCAATTTCTCATACCATTATGGACTAATATCCCTTTTATAGATTCACAATCGTTTTCAAGGAAATTCCATAAAATGAATTAATGAAAACAGAATATATAAAAAAAGTAAATTATCAACTTACTTGTGGGCACCTAGATTTATACAAGCTATACCAAGATTATAACGTGATCGTATAAAACCGGGAGACAGTTGTAAAGCATTGTGATAGGCATCAACAGCATCCTCACTACGATTACCATTAGCCAAGGTAGCACCAAGTTTATTCCATAGTAACGCATCCTGTAATATAACCAAAGATGTAACAACTTGCCATATTCCTCCAATAGTGATCAAGCAGTAGGGTTTGATTTGCAGAATTGGCCGAAACACATCCTTAAGAATTTATTCCGCCCGGTGGTTCTGACTTATCAGGGGTGGAACCTGTAGGGCTGACAAGGAAAATATGCCATGTCGTTCAAAAGGGATGAAAAACCAATGTCCCTCCGCGTACACATTGGAGTGAACCGTTGGCAGGTAGTTGTAGGTAGAACTGCAATTGTCTGGGTCTGGGCACAATTCTCCCACATATTGTCTGGATTTCAGGATAATTTTCCAATCTGATTAAAATACAGATCTATATTTCGTTTTTATTTTTATACTTTTAATGGCCTCTACTACATGAAGATCTGACCAGTTGCAGTGGGAGGTTGCATTTGAACCTATATATGACATCACATATTTGATTAACTAATCAACGTTGATGTTTCTAGTGGGTTACCCACAGTTCTGTGCATCTCTCGCCAAAAAAATCGCCGTAACAGACCGTATCATTGGCTAATCCCCATATCATCCAGAACATGGGTTATATAACTCTTTCAGATCGTAGTGTAATATATATTTCAACACCTATGTTTAATTAAATGATGAATTTAATTCAATTAAAGAATTCAATTAAAGTTTGATTTAAAAAATCTAAAAACCTCTCTCTGTTGGATGAAGGTAAGGACAATATACATATAAAATATATTAACATTAAAACTAGGTTTACCTTGGGTCTGATCTGTAAAGCTGCTGAGAAACAATCAACAGCTTTGTCATATTCACCACTTAAATTAAACAATACTCCTAAACCACACTGAAATTATATAAATATATTATACAATAATCCTAAACCACACTATGCTGAAAATTTCAGTCAAATTACTTCACTGTCGATCGCAGAACAGTTTAGTCAATGCTACCATTGTTACAATAATAAACAAAGTCTTAATTATCCATTTTCAAATTAAATCATTAACTGCCCATCGTATTTAAATCTGTTGAAAATCTAGAGCATCTGACGACACCAAGAATTGATTAAAGTCTTGATAAGTTAATTAATGTCTAATTAATAATCTATATATCATTTAAGGCATAAAGAATGACCTACAATAGGCAAATTTAGCTTTTGAATAATGTATCTTTATATTAGTCACATTGGATCAGTGATGGGATTTCAAAGTTTTTCTTGTCAGACATTTTTACCGAAAATAAAGGGAAATAACTCTTATCATTATGATTGGATGCTGATTTCACTATTTGAATATTCTAAGTCAATATTCAATGAAATATTTTGGCACATTTTCAAATTTCTAGAAATAGTGACACTTTCAAATCAATATTATCCTTATCTGTCTATTTTCATTTTCATATTAGCTGATTGATTTGTGAGAAAAAAAACCCCTGATTTCATTGCATTAATTTTGACATTATATAATTAATAACCAAAAATAAGATGGAATATAGCCATAAAGATTATTAATATTTCTGCGGGTACTATTTTTAACAGTTGTATTTAATTAAGATAACAAGGACAGCCGTCTAATCGTTCGGATGGGACGAAAAACCGAGGTCCCGTGGAGACATTGGTGTGCACGTAAAAGATCTCTTGGCAGTTGGAATACGATATTAGAGTAGGATGTAGTGCCGCTGTCCAGGCAAAATTTCCCTCATAGCACACTATATGGCGTATGCCCGTCTTCATTAGCCCAGTTCGGAGCAGAACAGTAGGACGTTAAACCCCATTACATTTCATTTCATTTTCTAATTAAGATAATACGATGATTTAAATACCTGGACGTCAGCATCTATTTCTCCCTGTGATGACAGACGGGCAGCCTGTAGATATAACTCTTTTACTTCTTCATACTCAGAACTACAAAAAACAATACATGAATTACAACAAAATATATCGGTGTATTTACATGATACATGTACGTCATCAAACAGTGGCTTAGTGGGTAGGATGCTGGCACGCTAGCCTGGAGGTCCACTCGTTCAGTGTTCGATCCCTGCAGTGGCCGAGAAAGTTCATTGGGATCTGCTGACATGGTTTCACGTTGTCAGTGGTGCAGGACGGAGGGCCTGACAAGGACAGCTGTCTAGTCATTCGGATGGGATGGAAAACCGAGGCCTCATGTATACATTGGTGTGCACGTAAAAGATACCTTGGCAGTTGGAATTCGATATAAGAGTAGGCAATAGTGCCGCTGCCCGGGCTAAATTTCTCCCATAGCATATAGCATACTGTATGGCGTTTGCCAATCTTCATTTGCCCAGTATAGGAGCAGAACAGTAGGATGTTATACCCCATTTCATTTCATCAAACCAAATAAATTTGCTATTAGCTCCTCAGGTGCAAAAAAACATGGTCTCATGTTGACGTCCACATAGAATAACCCTAAGCAACTAGACATCAAGAAGAGTGTGCTGTATTGTCATATTCGAAGAAGAGTATTGTGCAAAATTTCCAACACAGCACACTGTATGGCGTACGCCCGTCTTTATTCGCTCGGATGCTGCATAAAAATAGGACGTTAAACCCAATTTAACTTCAATTGAAATGGAATGAAATGGTGTTTACCATCAAACTGTTCTGCTCTGACTGGGCTAATGAAGACGGCCATACAGTGTGCCATGAGGGAAATTTCGCCCAGACAGCAGTCAGTTTATAACATAAATAAGTTGATAATTATAATGTTAGAAAACTTTTTCTAATTTACCTGCTCATAAAAGATGATGTGATTGGTTTATCGTCTATTGGACCAGGTACGAGATGTGAATAGCGAGGATTTCTCTTCAACCAGGTTTTAAGTGCGTGACTAGCGTACGTACCCAGTGATTCGTTTGTATAACTTACAGCCAATCCCATCCAAGCTACTAAATTACCTGGTTCTAGAGATGAACATCTAGAAATATCAAATATCCAATATTTAAAGATACATTATGTAAGATTCAGATAAAGAGCTGGCCATTCTTACTATAATAGTTCGAAAAAAGATAATGCAAAATGAATTTGTTGAGAATTTCGTTCAAATTGCTCCATTGCGAGTGAAGATATTAGCTATTGAAGGTTTGACAAGATTTGTTTAATAATATTCTGTCAAAATTATGGTACAATTTATTTTGTATTTCAGGATTCATTGCCTACTCTACTTTTATTTTATAAAATCACAATAATTTCAGTTTCTTACTTTTTTAAAGCAGCAATAGCAGCTGGTTCCTGTTCATTTTCAGCTTGTGTCGTACCCAGATATTGCCATGCCTAAAATAATCAACTTATAGTCATAAATACTATACAAGAACCTGATACACATAAATACTATACAATAACCGGATACACATAAATACTATACCATAAACTGATACACATAAATACTATACCATAAACTGATACACATAAATACTATACAACTGATACACATAAATACTACACAACTGATACACATACATACTACACAACTGATACACATAAATACTACACAATAAAGTTTATTGAATAAACTGATAATCTCTTTTTCGACTTTATCTAAATAAGAGAGACAGAGGGAGAGGGAATTAACACTTCTAGGACACAAAATGACTAACACATTATAATTCTTTATTACATTTTTTAATGTTCACTCGACACAAACTAGGTCATTTCGGGATAAATATATTTTTCAATAGCAGTGAGAGGGAACCGGAGGACCCGGAGAAAACCCATGAGGTTGGACAGGCGACCATACTCCTTGTCACATACTACCAGGGAATCAAAACCATGCCTGTTGACTCAATGACAGACCTTATGATACTACATGCACACACGCTGACCATACGGCCATCCAACCCTCCTCGGGGAAGTAGAGTGAAATAAATATATATGTTTTATTACCTGTATATGTGTGTCGTCTTTTTGAACAGCAGCTTCAAATAATAAAACAGCATTTGGTATATCCCCTGCTTTTAATTTCTCTAATCCACCTTCAAACGGGTTTGGATGATCTAATAATGGATTCTCAGTTTCAAAGGTATAATTCTGAAAAAATAATTCAACTCTGTAATAATTTTAACTCTTATTCGAGAACACAATCGTTAGCTACCCAATCAGAATATGTATTAATCATGTCAGGGTACCGGGTATGTATAAAGCATGTCCTATACAATTCCCTTTAGCATAAAGGCTTTATATTGAAAATTATAACTTTTCGGCCACATAAAACTAAGCGCAGAGAGAGAGAGAGAGAGAGAGAGAGAGAGAGAGTTTAATGTCCACTCGACACAAACTAGGTCATTTTGGAACTAACATATGGTTCAATTTTATTTCAATTATTTGCTGGCGCGCAGAGGTCTTTAGTAGTTGGAGGAAATGTACAACCGGGAAATTGAAACCACCCCAGCTGACTCGATTACAGTCCTTATGATATGGCGGCTAAGCATTAACCATTCGAACATCCAAAGCCCCCTAAAACTAAGCAATCTGCTCACAGAAATATCATGATCACCTTTTGACGTAAGACATAAACAGTTTTAAATATTTCTGAAAATATGGACTTGAATCAATGGCTTGAATTTTTCATGTTCAATAAAACACAATCTGATTAAAATACAGAAATATTTTTTTTTTTTTTATACTTTCGATGGCCTACACTACAAGAAGATCTGACCGGTTGTAGTGGAGATCGCGTCAGAGGTAATACGAGCGGCTTTTGACCCTATGACGTCAGAAATTGATTAATCAACCAGCGTGGACTTTTCTAGTGGTATACCCACAGTTCCATGCATCACACGCCAAGAACTTGCTGTAACAGACCATTTCATTGGCTAATCCCTCAATTTAACCAGAATGTACCTTATATAACAACTCTTCCAGATCCTAGTGTAGTAAAGACAAATAAAACGAAACTTTGAACTATAAAAAAGGAAACAGGATCTGTGTTTTAATCAGATTGTGTTCAATGAAACAATGATAAGCAAGGTATCTAAAATAGATTATATATCTTAAACTTTATTATTCTATGTTGTTACAGATAGAATAAGGTAGTAAATCATTAAAATATCATCAATTATAAAGTGTACATGGCAGGAAGTTAGGGAGAGAGAAAAAGAGAGAGGGAGAGAGAGAGATGGGGTTTAAAGTCCACTCGACACAAACTAGGTCATTTAGGGAATAACATATGGGAGGAAACTGGAGAAAACCCACGAGGTTGAACAGGTGACCCTACTCCTTGCCACATACAACCGGGGAATCAAAACCACACCAGTTGACTCAATGACAGACCTTATGATACAGCATGCACATGCTAACAATTTGGCTATCCAACACCCCCCCCCCCCCCACCAAGTTAGGTATAAAGTGAAATGAAGTGGGGTTAAATGTCATTCTGTTCTGCACCAACTGGGATAATGAAGATGGTTTGGTTTAAAACACAAGTGACAAACTGAAAAGCCTGGGGGTTTGGGATGGTCTAACAGTCTAAAGTGCCGCGCTTCGACCTCTAGTTGGCTGGTCGCCTCTGGCTTACGGTCATTGTTTCGATCACTGGTGTGAGCGTATTTATCTTGGAGATAGGGGCACCTTCTCAACCTCATGGGTTTACTCCGGGTACTCCTGTTTCCTCCCATAGGTAAGACCCATGCGCGTGTGATATCACTTTCGGTGGAAGCGGATGATAAACACTAAGAACAACAACAACAACAACTGAAAAGCCTATCATAAAAAGATAAAAAGCACATATTGTATAAGTCTGTAAATTCTCCATTTAACTGATTCATGCTGATGGTTTAATCATTCCATCATTTATTAATTTATTATTCTATTTACATGTCATCATCTTTTCAGGATAAACATTTACTGAATTTCTATTTCATTATGGTTATAACCTCGTCAGACTGGGGTGACGTTCTTACTGCGCTGCTACGGCGACGGAAAATGGTCCCAGAGCGCATCAAGATCACCATAAGTATAGTAAACGCGTGGTGGGAATGCCAGATATCGTGCTTTGGTCTCCATGGTCACCAATGATCACCAAATCACAGCGTTTGTTTTGGGCATGTTCAAAGCAAACGCCAAGGTTCTGCGATTTGGCCTGGAAAGCTGTAAAAACACTACTTTTTAAAGTTTGTAATTTTTCGGGACATTTTCTCGTGTTGTGTTCACGTTTGCCGGCGACCATGTGTATTTTCTGGCCACCGTACCTTCGCAGCACAGTAAGGATGCAACCCCAGTCTGACGGGGGCATTAGGGAAGACAACTCCATATGTAGGGTGATCCATGACCAGAAAAAGATAGGACAAACAGACAATATTTAGGGCTTATTTTAATATATATATGGGACTTATAGGAATGGCAGGTCTATATTCTGTAAAGCAGGAAAACATATCACCATTGTTGTACATACGTAAGCGTGGTATGGTAGTATTGTTATCGACTGTAATCTTAATGATTTTAATTATTTTACAAATCATGTTCGATAAATGAATGGAATCTATGGCCAGAAGAGAACCATTTTTACTGATAGCTTCGTTGTTCTATATGGTATAACTTCAAAGTCAAGCCTTTTGTCAATATTTTATATATCTGTTAATTCAACATAAAGAGCATTGGTTGTGAATTCCTGACACTGTGCGATACATAGAAAACATAAAATATAGATTTAATTTCTAAAGTTTTTGTTAGTTATCCAAATTGATCCGACATTGGTCTATGATCTACCTATTGCTAAAATTACAACCCGATATAAAGAATAAATATATGGGGTAATAAATATATTTCTATACACCGAAACTTCAATAAAATGCTTGTCAACTGATATAAACTAGGTCATTTCTGAACTAACATAGGGATTAATTTTATCTTGATAATTCGCTTGCACGTAGGGGGACCCAGAGAAAACCTATGAGGTTGGACAGGCGACCCTACTCCTTGTCACGTATTAACTGGGAATCGAAATCACGCCAGTTGACTCAATGACAGACCTTATGATACAAGGAGCACGCGCTAACCTTTCGGCTATCCACCACCCCCACCCTGACTAAAAGACAACCACGATATAGTGAAGTCTCAGGTATATCCACAGGCTGGAATATACAATACACCCATCGTGAAGCTTTGACGAAAACATAACTATCGAGTCAGTTTTTCACAATAACTGACACTATATTTGCATGATAATAACTTGGTGTAATAGCTGCTATCGTGTCAAACCAACTTGATTAAAATACAGATCTATATTTCGTTTCGTTTTTTTATACTTTCGATGGCCTCTACTACATGAGGATCTGACTGGTTGTAGTGGAAGGTCGCGTCAGAGGTCATAAGAGCGGCTTTTGACCCTATGACATCAGACGTTTGATTAGCAAATGAGCGTTGATGTTTCTAGTGGGTTACCCATAGTTCCGTGCACCTCACACCAAAAAAACAGTCCGTTTCATTGGCTAATCCCTCACATCTTCCAGAATGCGGGTTATATAACAACTCTTCCAGATCACAGTGTAGTAAAGACAAGTAAAACGAAATTTTGAGCTATAAAAAACAACTGGTGTCAAACCTTCGCAATGGGCGTACTGTATATAAGTTTATATAAATATGTATAGGTACCTTTTTACCACTTTTAGTCTAGTAGAAAAATTAAAGAAAGTAAAAGTGAAAAGGATGCATCTAACTCTTCCTATATTAATCTAAGCTTTAGAGATATTTATTTAGTAATAGTAGTTTAATCACTGTAACCCGGGTATCATTTAATCTTGTGTATAAAGCACTAATTTCTTTCACATTTGTTTAATATTAAATCTTTGTTTAAAAATTTGCAAAAATCATTTATAACCACTCCAAATCATCTAATTTGTACTTGTGTCCAGTTTAAAGTGGACTGATTAATTATGATAATGAGTGTATTTAATTTCATGTATTCTATTTCCTGACCACTGTTCTAAAATTAATCATTATACATCAATAATCAATTGGGTTGTTTATTTCATAACAGTGATCAAGAAATTAAACATTAGTGAATTGGACACTCTTTATTAAAATTGAACGGTCAGCTTTAAACTGGACACAAGTACAAATTGGATGCTTTTTGATGATTTTAAACGATTTTTACAAAGTTTTAAACAAAGATTTGATATTTAATGAATGTGAAAGAAATTAATTCTAAATACCCAAGATTAAATGATACCTGGATTACAGTGAAGCAAACTGATGGGTTCATATCGTCGCATCATTTAAAATTGTGCGTCTAGATTAGATAATTAGTGTTGCGTTTACAACTGTTCACCTTCCAGAAGGGTGTTAAGTAATTAACAGACTACCAGACAGAAGGAACCCAATATTCTTTGATAATAGTGAACAATTTGCCAACAATGGTTTGAAACTAAACATTAAAGGAGCTAACTCGCTAATATTTGGGACCTAGTAATTGACAAAAATGGGTCGCAACACATATAATAATGTAATATCAATGTATATAAACTGATTTACATTCAATTGTTTCCGTTTTTACTCTAATAATTTCAAATCAGTTGTGTTTGGCGAAATACGTCAGAAATCTCAATCGAATGGCAATCTCTAACATCTGGTTATTCCAGTCTACATGGTAATTATTGCGCATGCTCTCGAGATAAGAATGGCGTTATCTTTTGACATGACTTGTGGAATATGTCTAGCCTCGTTCTTCGAATCCCTTGTTACAAATGGGACTGAAATGCATTATGGTACCCGATTCGTGTACCAATGGTAAAATGATTATTTTGTCTTAATATTGGATATCAGAAGCCCATCTTTTCCCGGTAAGATCACAACATCAATGTTGCTTTAATTGACAAATAATTTGTGTTTTCAATGTCGAAGACTTTGGATGATATTGAGTTAGAGACTTAGCTACATGAAATACAGACACTCCTACTAAACAAGCACAACTACACGATACCCGAGTAGGATATTTTGAATGATGGAATCATGATATAACAAACCTGATAGGGTTCCGAACGTTCATATTCTGATAACCATGGATGGCCGATATCGTCTCTGAAAAACAAAACAGAAAGGTTTGGGTCTTGAAGAGGTACGAGGCAATAATTGGGTCATAAAATCTGTTTGTGCTACAATCTATTCCATAAGGGCGGAGGAAAGAATGAGAAAGATCTTTTCGTAATTTCAAGATTCACTGAAACTGTTTATCTGTGGATCTAGGAGTTCTTGTGGATTTGTATGGAGTATCATTTTCTTGATATATTTGGATTCAGATATATCTATCTGAAAATAACATAAGATATCGTAATCAGAACCTAACAAGTAAATAAAACTAAAACTTACTGTTCTGCTTCAAGCCAATGTTTCTGTAATTTATCCCAGAAATCAACATCATTAGCGTCTTGTCCTTGATTGGCTGAAAAATCTGTAAATTCTTCTTCCCATTTATCAACCAATGATTTTGCTTCCTAAATGAATAAAATAAACAAAATTATATCCATTTTGTAAGTTGTATTTTACGCATTACTTAATAATATTTGCTTGATAATGTTGAGAGAACCCTCAATGAAACATTGCTTTCATTAAAATAGTTCCATATTATGTTTTTGTATTTATTACTTAATAACTCCAATCTTTAAATGAAATGGAGTTTAACGTCCTACTGTTCTGCTCCTAAACTGGGCTAATGAAGACGGGCATACGCCATACAGTGTGCTGTTAGGGAAATTTTGCCAGGGCAGCGGCGCTACGGCCTACTCTTATATCGAATTCCAACTGCCAAGGGATCTTTTACGTGCACGCCAATATGTACACGGGACCTTGGTTTTTAGTGCCATCCGAACGACTAGACAGCTGTCCTTGTCAGGCCCTCCGTCTTGCATCACTGACAAGGGGAAACCACGCTGGAAAATCTGGATGAACTTTCTCGGCCAATGCAGGGATCGAACACCCGACCTCCAGGCTAGCGAGCCAGCGTCTTACACACTTAGCCACGTGATCCCCCAATCTTTAAATGACATCAAGATGTTCGGTTAACTATTCATAACAAAAGACAACACAAGGTATATCTGGATATTACTACTTCTCAGATATTTAATAATGACCTTTAGTAACTTAATAACCTGCGCTACATGAAATAAAACTACCAATATTTTGAACTGAAAATGACCTGTATGTCATGACTGTGTCGAGGGCTATAATCTACATGTGCGTGAATGCCACTCCAGAAAGTTTCTAATTGACAGAATTGCAATCAATTACATGGAAGCAAGTCCTGTCACAGTTCTGCCGGTTCTGAAAACAGATGTACGTGATGTTAACTGAATTAAATTTTTGAGTTGCGGTGATTGGTGGAGATGCATATGAAATGAAATGGTGTTTAAAATTCTACAGTGTGCTATGATGGAAATTTTGCATGGATAGCCTCACTACAGGAGAGAGAGAGAGAAATGGGGACTAACGTCCACTCGACACAACCTAGGTCATTTTGGGACTAACATATGGTTCAATTTTATTTCAATAATTCGCTTGTGCATAGCGGTCTTTAGCAGTGGGGGAAACCGGAGGACTTGGAGAAAACCCACGAGGTTGGACTGGCGACCCTACACCTTTTCATGTACAACCGGGTAATCGAAACCAAGCCACCTGGTCGAGATACAACATGCTATAGACTACAATATGTACCTGTTGTTGTGTAAATTCGTCAGCCCATTTGACTGAAGTTTCGCTACTCGATTGCTCTATAACTTGATTATCTTCTAGTTTAATTTCACCGTTTTCAATTCTTTTAACAAACTTCATAAACTGTAAACACAATCAATTTGTTTTTTATTTTATTTAGGTTTTAGTAAATTATTCCCTCTTCCCTCTTTGTCTAGGAAAATAATCTATAGAAATCCTCTTTGTCTATGATAATAAAACTACAAGGCCCTCTTTGTCTATGAAACTAAACTACATATTTAAATATTTGAAGCAAAAATTCAGCCGTTACCATACTTAGTAATGTTTAGATTACAGGCCAACTAAATTGGATTACTAATTTGGCAGTCCCCAATACCAATTTCAATCCGTAAGAGCTTGACTAACATTAATTCTCAGATTACAGGCCCAATAATTTTCAAATATGTGTTCCTAAGTCTAAATATATTCCCCCAATATTAATTTCAATCTTCCTGGCCTTACAAGATTTTAGTTTCGCTGGCCTGGCCTTACAGTATTTTGTTTCACTGGCCTGGCCTTACAGTAATTTTGTTTCTCTGGCCTGGCCTTACAGTAATATTGTTTCGCTGGCCTGGCCTTCCAGTAGTTTTGATTTTCTATGGTTAAAGCTGCTGCTGATCATTTGAGCGAATTCTTTTGGGTTAGGTGGTTAGACATTGTCTAAACTATGAAGACAACTGTCAGAGACTTGATTCTCTGGAACATTCTGAATTGACAGCATTACAATCGTATTGTCACAGTTCTGCCAGTTCGGACAACTGAAGTGGTATGAGTAGAATCGTGACGTAATTAAACAAAACTTATATGTTTCAGCTGTCATGATTAGCTGAGATATTTTCTTATGTTTCAGCTGACATGATTGGCTGAGATATTTTTGGGACCGACAGAATTCAATTCCAGAATATTCAATTGAGTATCCCCTTTGTGTGCAAATGCAAGGGAGAGAATTTACTAACAATCAAACTCGGTCTCTAATGTTAGTTTTGTACCTGCATTTGTAATCAAGGCGCTCTTAAGTTTATTTGGAGTTTTCTATTGATTCTTTGATGTCTAAGGGTAAAGAATTCCTGAGAAAACGGTGCTGCAAAGTGAAAAGCGCCCTTCGTTTGTGGTAAATTGACAGCAGGAATAACTTAAAATGACTGGTTCTTGTGGTCCTAATTAAGCTCCTATTGAAAGTTATCAATTACGCTTTCAGAGTAGATGACAAAAAAAACCTTAACAGAACCAATCAAATTTGGGGGAATGACAGACAACTGACCTGTGAATTACTAAATTTAGGATCATCTAATCCGTTTAATATTTCTGTGGCTGTTTTTTCTAGATTTCCGTCTCGAGCTGCGTGTGTCTGATATTCATCTATCCATTTTGTATCATCTAATATATCTTTATTATAATCCTCAGCCCTGGAACAGTCATACATTCATATCAATATGTCTCCATTTTAATTACAATTTTGAGAGAGAGAGAGAGAGAGAGAGAGAGAGAGAGAGATGGGGTTTAATGTCCACTCACACAAACTAAGTCATTTCGGGATTAACATATGGTTCAATTTTTTATTTCCATAACTTGCTTGCGCGTAAGGGTTCTTTAGCAGTGGGAGGAAACTGGAAGACGCAGAGAAAACCCATGAGGTTTAACTGGCGACCCTACTCCTGGTCACGTACAACCAGGTAATCGAAACCACACCAGTTGACTCAATGACAGACCTTATGATACACTGCACACGAGCTAACTTCGGCTATCCAACCCCCCACGAATCAAACAAAAATAAACAAACCAGTGTTTAGCATCTGTGTGTTCTAAATATTCTTCTGCCCATTTTATATCAGGTGGCGCTGTGTGTTGCTGTCCGTCTGTCCAGTTCGTTAATCGGACATTTTGATCTTCTGATAGATATTCTTCTGCCCACTCACTGGAAGCCATTTCTGATATCGTCGGCGCTGAATAAAAGGTTATATAAAATATTATAAATTCTTGTCTATCTTATTACTGGTGGGGACGATGTATATTAATCTTGGTCTGATAACTTCACAAAATTTCCAATGTTTGTCAAGAGAGAGAGAGAAATGGGGGTTAAACGTCCACTCAACTCAGACTAGGTCATTTCGGGACTAACATATGGTTTAATTTAATTTCAATAATTCGCTTGAGCGTAGGGGTCTTTAGCAGTGGGAGGAATCCAGAGAACCTGGAGAAAACCCACGAGGTTGGACAGGCAACCCTACACCTTGTCACGTACAACCGGGGATTCGAAACCACGCCAGTTAACTCAATGACAGGCCTCATGATACAGCGCACACATGCTAACCATTCGGCAATCCAACTCCCTTCACCCAATTCCCAATGTTTGTCAAATCACGTGAAGCTGTTCAAACATTAAGAACATGGGAGCACTGTATTCCAAACACAGCTAACATGGTATGGTGCAAGATTTTCCAAGACAAGTTCTCAGGTTCTAATTTGTCAGGTGAAGCACCTGCAGGGGTTGAAAAATAAAATGAAATTGGGTTTAACGTCCTAGTACTCGGCAACGACTGGGCTAATGAAAACGGGCATACGCCATACAATGTGCTATGATGAGGGAAACTTTGCCTGGAGAGGGGCACTACAGGCTACTCCTATTTTGAAATCCAACTGTCAAGGGTTCTTTGACTCACTGTGCCACCACTGCTGCCAGGTTGACAAGGTACATATAAGTATGACTAGTTGTTTAGATCGGACAAAAAAAATGGCAGCCCACCTCTATACATAATGGATTTTGAAATCAACTGTCAAGAGTTCTTTTACTCACGTTGCCAATGCTGCTGCCAGGTTGACAAGGTACCACTGTTACCTGGGTATCATTTAATCTTGTGTATCTAGCACTAATTTCTTTCACACTCGTTTAATATCAAATCTTTGTTTAAAAACTTGTAAAAATCATTTAAAATCACAAAAAATCATCTAATTTGTACTTGTGTCCAGTGTAAAGCTGACTGATTAATTTTGATAATGAGTGTCCAATTTACAAGTATTTAATTTCCTGACCACTGTCCAAACATTCATTATACACCCTGAATCAATTGGGTTGTTTATTTTTTAACAGTGATCAAGAAATTAAACACTTGTAAATTGGACACTCATTATCAAAATTGAATGGTCAGCTTTAAACTGGACACAAGTGCAGATTAGACGATTTTTGGTGATTTAAAACGATTTTTTCGAGTTTTTGAACAAAGATTGGATATTAAACGAATGTGAAAGAAATTAGTGCTAGATACACAAGATTAAATGATACCTGGGTTACAGTGATATAAGTGTGCCTAGTTCTTTAGATGGGACAAAAAAATGGTAGTCCACCTCTATACATATTGACATGTCGCTGCCCGGGCAAAATTCTCTCAGTGGTATACTAACCTCGTTGAGGTGTATAGGCTTTCTCTGATTCCTCTATTTCTCTCATCTCCTGTAATAAACTTCCCATATGGAATGTCTGGGGTGCCATGACAGTTTGGTGACTTGTTAAAAACTCATTCACTAACTAAAAAATAAATTTAAAATTCATGTATTAACTGAAATATCAATTTAAAATTCATGTACTAACCGAAAAATAAATTTACAATTCCATACTTAAATTTAAAATGCATGTACTTCGTAATTAAAATTGAAGTCAAAAACTGAATGTTCAAAAATATCATTGAGACTTGGAATAAAAAAATGCCTATTCATGTGACGATTAAGTTATATTTATAGCACGGCTTTCATGAGCAAACAGGTTTAAATGGTGTAACATTGACACCTGCTCAACATGCTTGTTGTTATTGCACCCACCCAAATCTCTCTATATGATTTCTACTAAAACTAGTGTAAACCAGCAAAACAGTGCAATAACACTGAGCATGTCTAGTTATTGCACGGTTAAGCTCCAATGAAAAGAACAAAGGAAGATTTCCGTCCATGTTAAAATTTTCATTTAAAGAAGTAAAATTACCTCTTCACTTGACTGTAGCCCTGGACCAGCCAACTGTAAAATAATTATATATTAATTAGTAAGAAATCAAAAAACAGATAATAACAAACTCTAAAATATAAGTCAACATACATGTAACTATACACATTATGAACAACTACTGTGTGCCTTTTCCAATTTTGTTGGATCAGAGGTCTAATGTAAATTTGGGCCATATACCCAAGTCTAGAGAGAGAGAGCGTGAGATAGATAGGTGATTTCAGGACTAAAATATGGTTCAATTTTATTTCAATAATTCGCTTGCACCTAGGGGTCTTTAGCAGTGGGAGGAACCCGGAAAAAACCCATGAGATTGGACAGGCAACCCTACTCCTTGTCAGGTACAACCGGGGAATCGAAACCACACCAGTTGACTCAATGACAGACCTTATTATGCAATGCACATCCAGGTCTGGACATAAAGCAACTGTCACAGATATTGTCGGACACAAATTCTCTCATAATATAAAAGTTATGTGATAGTTTGTGTCTAGGCTTGTATATGTTGTGGGATAAATTTGTACTCAACAAAGTCCTTGACAGGTGTCTTAAAAGTACATGTATTTCCATGAAGAATTGTGTCACAGATACTATATACATGTAACCATAACAACATATATTTAACTTGTTTTATACTTACATCAAGTGGTCCAGGAACAGTTTTTGGTCCAATCGGTCGAAATCCATCCTAAATAACACAAAAATATTTAACAGATCTACAAATATTGTCAGATACAGATAAAATCATGACTCATTAAGTTAACCATACCGGTAGCTTTGAGATTCTAAATATCCAATCTGATTAATACACAGATCCTATTTCATTTTGTTTTTTATACTTCAAAATTTTGTTTTACTTGTCTTTACTACACAAGGGTCTGGAAGAGTTGTTATATACCCCACATTTTTGTTGATGGGAGGGATTAGCCAATGAAACGGTATCTTGCAGCGAGTTCTTGGCATGCGATGCACAGAACTGTAGTTATATTTATCCTACTAGAAACATCAACGTTGATTTGTTAATCAAATGTCAGATGTCATAGGGTCAAAAGCTGCTTGTATGACCCCTCATGCAACCTCCCACTACACTGGTCAGATCTTCATGCAGTTGAGGGCAGAGAAAGTATAAAAAAAATAACGGAATATAGATCTGTATTTTAATCAGTAAATCAGATTGACAAATATCAATCAAGGGGGGAAAAAGCTAAAATCATATGATTTAAGAAATTGAGTGTAAAGATCATTTATACGTGCAAAAATCTGTACAGTGTGTCCAATGAATCATATCTTAAAGGGACCATAACACTCTTGCTGGCTTGACAGCTCCAGAAAATAAAAAATAGCCTTATTCTAAGTACTAGATGTGTTAGTGTCCTACCTGTTATGTAAATTATCCATTAAATCCTATTTTACTTGTCCAGAGGGTTCAAAAATATTTTTAAATCCAAGTCACATTTGAAAAGCTTTACGTCAGGCTTTTCAAATCATTTAGTTGAATTTTTCCAATTTTTTAAATTAGATGTGTTAAGATGAAATTTGTATCATCAATTAATTGGAATATTGTAAAATAGTACAATTTGTTGACCAGAATAAAGATTGGGACATATTATTCAGTTACAACAAGAGTGGTATTGAGCCTTTAAGAATCTTAAAACACTTCTGAAATTAAATTTTGTATTTAATAATTTTATCTTGGGTTCTAGGATAAATTACCTGTTTAAATGCTCTGTCTTGTGTAAAATGTGAACCAAATTTCACCAATGAATTCGAGCCACCACATTCTCCGTCTATTAAATTACGGCCCGCCATTTTATCCACGTTGTGCACCGGAGACCTAAAATAATTGTAGATATATGTGATAAGCAATTATAGTTGTAGGTTTTCATGAGAGAAATGTAATATCCACTCAAAACAAACTAGGTCATTTTGGGAATAACATATGGTTCAAATTCATTTCAATAATACGCTTGCGCATAAGGGTCTTTATTAGTGGGAGGAAACAGGCAACCCGGAGAATACCCACAAGATTGGACAAGCGACCTTACTCCTTGTCACGTACAACCGGGGAATTGAAACCATGCCAGTTGACTCAATGACAGACTTTATGATACAACGTGCACACGCTAACCATTCGGCCATCCACCCCCCTTTAAGTAGTCAGACAACCATACTCCTTGTCACAGACAAGTGAGGAATCAAAACCACACAACTTGACTCAATCAGAGGCCTTACATGATCTACTGCATAGAAATTAAACCATTTAATGCCCATGTCTACCATATTCACACATGTACATGTAGTAATAAACATCTACTAACTTACAAATGTCTGGGCAGACCGGGCCCCTTAAAACATAACATTCTTTACAGAACAATAAGTGTAACCAAGTTTTATTCATCAATAATTTTGAGATGTTTTTTTAAATGTGATTTGTTGTATGTCTTCTCCTTGATTGGAGGAAAATTAAGATTTAAATTGGACTACAGATCGCGTGCCAGAATGCTTTTGAATGTCATTTGTAATGAAGTGACTCGATGAACGAGGCTAAACATATCCCACAAGTCAGGGCTTGTAGACTAGAACAACCAGATGCCAAAGACTACCATTCAATTTTCGCTCCTTGTGTATTTTGCTGAACATAACTGATTTGAAATTACAGTAAAAACAGAAATGATTGAATGTAAGTCAGTTTATATACATTCATATTACATGTATATTATTATAAATGCGTTGCGACCTATATTTGTGTTCATTTCTAGGTCCCAAAGAATAGATAATTAACTATTTTGGGTTCTCAAATTTCTCTACATAAAGTTCAAAGGAAAAGCTTCATAAATTTTTAAAATAAAGCAAGGAATTATGTCAACATATGATATCCTTTCCATAAGTATAACACAATCCCAAATGTCAGTCCTGTCACAGATAAATTTCAACGTTAGTTAGCAATTTACACTGCTCTCTGCCCTCCGTGAGTAGTCTTAACTTTCTGCCAATAACCAAACCGTGACGTAATTTTAGTCCTTCTGCTCATAGAAATATAGACTAGAGTAGAATATGATGCTCGATGACTAAAATTACGTCATGACTTGTACATGTGTATTGGCCGAAAGTTACGACTACACACCGTTGAAATTTACCTGTGACATTCGGGATTTTCCGGTGATCTTTAATCGTACATGTACCTCAGTACGCTGGGGTATCTCCTGCTCAGACTGTTGTATGCCTGTACATGTAGGTGTAGTCTACTGTATAAGTTGTACTGACTGACAGTGACAGACGTGAGACAGGGGAAGGGGGTGGGTTAATAATACTGGCAAACATTCTGCTTCACCTGGCACTATCAATCAATGCTTGATTCATGACAATAACGATAGATTGGTAAATACTGAATCAAGTGTTCCAACATTTTTGTAGGATATTTTGAGAGCATTACACAAAAACTCACCTATATTTATTTTTACGGTCAAAGTGCACTTTATCGACCTAACAACAACCCCGTAATTAGTATAGTTACTTCCGGTCATGTAAAGAAAATAGTTTCTCTAATAAATTGAAATTATGATTTATATATTTATATTAAACTATTCACTTTATTTGAAATATAACTAGCACGGATTATGTTCGTTACTATCTAAAGTATAAATGTCATTCTAAATCAAATCTATTTAGTTTGTTTGTTTATTTACATATGGGTAGTGATATTATTTTATCAACGGAAGTAGTTACGACTCCATCTTGGTTTGTTGACAGTGATAATAATTGTCCGGCTTGTGTACGCTAGTTACACGCTAATTAATTAGCATTTAGCAAACAGTCTCCTATTGACAAATTGTAAACATCTCGTCTGACGAACAAGCTGAAAGATGCCATCAAGAGCAGAGGACATTATGAAGGGATTTAGCCTGTATCCTTTTGATAAGTACAAATTTTATTCGTCAGTAAATGAAATGTGTAGGCTAGTCCGCAGTCGACGGCATATGAATTATGATATTGATAATCTGATTAGTCCCCGAGTCGGTAAAAGTGGATCGAAATCAATCAGTATTCTGGTTACATAGTGAATCAGCAGAATTCTTTAGACCTCATATACATGTATTGTATGTATGTATCACTATCAAATAGTTTCTCAATATAAATCTGACATGATATAATACTTAATAGGCCTATAATTGAGTATAATAACTTATACATGTTTACATGTAGTTTAATTAGTTATAGGCCAATGAAAAGAGAAGAATTTTGTTCTGAGATGATTGACAGCGGAGTTACATTAAAATTTAGTCTATTTAATCTTATGCTACAAATATGGAAGTATAGTGATTTCGTAACTTGTCAGGTTTTTAACGTTCAGGGTAGGTTTGGCTGAAGTGGGGTGTGTTTTATTGCAGATTAGAAATGGTCGTCTGTTGCAAATTTATACAATAATTATTTGATTGTCAATTCTGTGTTTAAAGGAGCCCAATAGTTAATTTTTCGGACCTAGAAATTGAGATAAATGTGTCACAATGCATATAATATAAATATATATAAACTGATTTACATTCAATCGTTTCCGTTTTTACTCTAATTTCAAATCAGTTATGTTCTGCGAAATACGCCATAAGTATAAGTTTCAATCGAATTGCAATCTCTAGCACCTGGTTTTTTCCAGTCTACACCGATAGTATTTGCACATTCTCTCCAGATAAGAATATGGCATCGCCATTTGACATGACTTGTTGAATATGCCTAACCTCGTTCTTCGAGTCCCTTGTTACAAATGGCGCCGAAACGTATTATGGTACACGATTCGTGTACCAATGGTAAAATGTTTATTTTGTCTTAAATATTGGATATCTGAAGCCCATCTTTTCCCGGTTAGATCACAACATCAATGTTGCTTTAATTGACAAATAATTTGTTTTCAATGTCGAAGACTTTGGATGATATTAAGTTAAGAGACTTAGATACTTTAAGTTCAGCTACATATACTGTATGTATAATTGGCTTACTATAATATGTTGGTCTGGTTTGTGTTTCTGTTTTCCTAATTTGAAATGAATCGTCGATCTGATGTGTTACTTCAATTTGTAGAGCCGGAGTAGCTCATTAACCAGAACATTTCTTCTTGAATTCGAGTCTCATGTTTTCTGACAAAGTTCATTGTTATTTTCCGCCGTGGTTTCCATTTGTATTGGTGCAGGACGGAGGGCCTGATGAGGAACAGTGTCTAGTCATTCGAATAGAACAAAAAACTGAGGTCCTGTACATGTATGTGTACACATTGGTGTGCACGTAAAAAGATATTCCCTCTATAGCACACTGTATGGCACGTGCACGGCTTCATTAGCCCACTTATACCTACAAATCTGTTGACCTATCTATAACAAATATATATTGTTGTAGAAGTTATACAATTAAATTTTTGATATCAGGCTGATAAAATGTTACAAATAAAAGTTTATATGTCAGTAAGCCTATGCATTGTATTCACAGTTACATGTACATGTATGTAACTTGTGCTCATTCCTAAAATAGCCAGGGTGGCTGAATGTAAGATGTTGGCTTGGCTCGCTAACCTTGATTGAGGTCCTTTCTTGAGCCTAGTGTGAGAAAGTTCATCACCATTTTCCTACGTGGTCGACCCATGTCAGTGCTAGAGGACAGAAGGTATGGCAAGGGACAACATATTGGTGTGCACAGAAGTGAACTTTGACAGTTTGAATTTGATTGAAGAGTAGGCCGTTGTGCCGCTGTCCTGGCATAAATTCCCTCATAGCACACTATATGACGTATGTCTGTCTTCATTAGTCCTGTCAAAGCCAATCTGATTAAAACACACAGAACCTACATGTATTTCGTTTCGTTTTTTATAGTTCAAAATTTCGTTTTACTTGTCTTTACTACACTAGGATCTGGAAGAGTTGTTATCATTGACGTGTTCTGAATGGTGTGAGGGCTTAGCCAATGAAAAGGTCTGTTACGGAGAGCATTTGGCGTGTGGTACACGGAACTGTGGGTAATCCCCTTAAAAACATCAATGCTGATTGGTTAATCGACAATCTGACATCATAGGGTCAAAAGCCGCTCGTATGACCTCTGACGCGACCTCCCAAAACAACTGGTCAGATCTTCATGTGTAGGCCATCAAAAGTATAAAAAAATGAAACGAAATATAGATCTGTATTTTAATCAGATTGTGTCGAAGCAGAACAGTAGGATGTTAATTCCCATTTAATTTCATTAATCCCCAGTTATTATGATATCTATTTGAGGGACATGTGTAGTTAGATAAGTAATACTAGAGTAATTATAATCCATAGTAACATATCAGTATTGATTGAACGAGTATATAAATACAGTCCTTGACGTCTATATCTAGTAATTGGATGAATCTACGTGATGCAGATAATGGTAAAGTTTTATGGCAGTCAACAGATGATCTGTAAGTTTCTTATTTGTTATTGATTTCATTCTATTTCAATATATTAAAGATACAAGACCTTTATCTCCCTATTATAGGTCTTTATGTGGCTTTAAATGCTACAGGAGGCTTATGTCGCCTTTACACCTCAACACCAAGTCGGTTTTAAGAATGATCACACAGTACTAATTAAAAAACAAAACACAGCTAATTAAAGTGATTAAATGTTAAGCTTTTAATCTGTTTGACGTTAATCCTCCATTGATTGTGATTAGAGTAATATACACAAGGATAATTAATTAGCAGTGGTTTTCATTCATGGACTACTGAACATTGTTAATTTTATTATACCAGACAGTTTACATTACGACACGTACAGAGTTTCGTCGTATCCGGGGATTTTATGATTTAGCACAAAATATGCTATTTTTCCGGCGCGCAAAATGACCTATGGGGCTGATCCAGTTTCGGTCTTTCCAAAGCCCTCGGTCCCGACTGACATATACGTCCGACATGGAACCCATAAACTTGCTTATATGTAGGGCATAGGCTATCAATGATGTGAAATAGGGTTTAGTGTTTTACGGATGAATACTGCTAAAAAAAAAAAACCTACGTGCAAGCGAATTATGGAAATAAAATTGAACTATATGTTAGTCCCGAAATGACCTAGTTTGTGTCGAGTGGTTGTTCAACCCCATTTTTCTCTCTGTTTCACAATGAGCTATATGTCTTTTATTTTTTGTTTTTATAGAGCAACACCAGAAGCAGAACATGAAGGTAGGTACTTACTGCTTCATATAACTTTCTTTTCATCTGAGCTGTATATAGATGTGTGTTGTACACAAAGCAGGGTGTACATTATCTTCAGGAAGGTCTGATTACATTTTTCTCTTGAGGCATTCACATAGTTTTGTAACAGATGTTTATTTATTTTAAAGATTTTTTGCTTTCTTTCATTTTATATCGTATTATATATTTTACTGGACATGGGTTTACGTAAAAAATGTTTATACATGTATTTTACAGCTCGAGTGCCTAAAAAGATTTTAAAATGTCGAGCTGTATCCAGAGAATTAAATTTTTCATCAAAAGAATCCATGGAGAAATTCCGTCTGGAACAGAAAGTGCTATTTAAAGGAAAATGTTTAGAAGGTAGGTGAAGCCAGTAGCCACCATATTGTTTTTTGGGTTCAGTACCAAAATATAAAAAGTTTGGTCGGTATTTGAACTAATGGTTCTGGGAGGGGGCAAATGGTTTTCTGCATTGAATGATACGGTCAAATTGTATGGTTTCGATTCCTGCTTGTAGGTGACATGGAGAAGCTGGGTGATATTGCCTTGCCAGTCCTTCATGTTTATAAAATTGTGCGGGAGCCATAAAAAGCTCCTGATACCTTGAATATATGCAGTTTAAAAGTGAACAAAAACTGAAAGTAGTTTATTAATCTCAATATTTAGGAGAGCGATTTATCTAATTTGCAGGAGTCTTTAATGACTCCTTCGAAGGAAATCCGACGTGCGTCGAGAGGAGCAGGAGCGAAAGCTCCCCTTAACTTAAACGTGAAGAACTGTATTGCACACATTAGCGTTTATGACAAATATGTTTTACATCAAACATGATATATTGATCATTGACATGTTCAGTTTAATGAGAGGACAAATGGCATTGAAATCAACTCCACACAAATTCAGCAATTCAGATTGAAACCACAACACATGGGAATTAGACCAATCAATCCCCTTTATACATCGAAATGATGTTGTTGTCGTGGTATCTACTTGTTGATATTGAATGTTTTATTGTAAAATGATATTTTGATATTGAATGTTTTATTGTAGAATGGTATTTTGATATTGATTGTTTTATTGTAGAATGGTATTTTGATATTGAATGTTTTATTGTAGAATGGTATTTTGATATTGAATGTTATGTTGATATTGATTGTTTTATTGTAGAATGGTATTTTGATATTGAATGTTTTATTGTAGAATGGTATTTTGATATTGAATGTTATGTTGTAGATTGGTACATGTACATTGGATTTTGATATTGAATGTCTTATTATAGAACAGTACATATTTTGTCTATTTATATTTATAGATTGGTATTTTGA